GATCAAGGCTCCCCTTTCTTTATCAACTTTCTCACCCTCCCTTTCAATTTTGTGATATAAGCTAGGATCTTCTGGGAAGAGGGAAGTTAATTGAGCAAGTTCCTCCATTAGATTGGCCTGTAGGCCAGTCTGTGGGGGTATTTTCCTGATTAATGATTGATGTAATAGGGTCTAGCTGATCTTGGGCAGTGCTGCCCCAGGGCAGATGGTCCTGTGTGTACAAAGAAAAGTAACTGTGGAGAACAAGTCAGTAAGCATCATCCCCCATGGTTTCTGCTTCAGTTCTCCCCCCCCCTCTAGAACTGATGGATTGTGATTTGTAAACTAAATAAACCATTTTCTTCTCCAAGTTGGTTTTTTGTTCCATTTGTTTTTGTTTTGTTTGAGACAGGGTTTCTCTGTGTAATAGCACTGGCTCTTCTGGATCTCTCTCTGTAGACCAGGCTGATATCAAACTCAGAGACCCTCTGCCTCCCAAATGCTGGGATTAAAGGTGTGTGCTACCATTGCCTGTTAGCATTGCCAAGTTAGTTTTGAGCAGTGTTTTATCACAGGACCAGAAATCACAGTAGGATAGAGTTTAACCATGTATGTAGCCTAGGTTGGTCTTGAATTTGTGAACTTCCTATTTCAGCCTTTGGAGTGATTACAGGAGCGTGGCAGCAAACTGGGCTGATGTATATATGTATATATTTATGATGGGTTTATTGGGCTGTAAGACATCGTACAGTAATGGACACTGGCATTCTTGCGTGGTCATAGAACCATGGTAGACAGAATTCTAATGTGGTCTCTAAGATGCCCACCCTCTGATATGTAATACCCTCTTTATCAGAGTGAAACTTTTTATATGCCTGCCTGGATAGTTACTACCTTAGTAGGATTGTACTGTAGTACAAAAGTAGTAGGATAGTCACTCCCAAGACATCTAGTCAAAACAGAAGGTTCTTTTACTGGCTTTGAAGAAGGAAGTTACCAAGATTCTAGAGCAGCCATTCTCAATCTGTGGGTTGTGATGCCCCCTCCCCCAGTGGCCACATATCAGATATCCTGCATATCAAATATTTACATTACTATTCAAAGCAGCAGCGAAGTTACAGTTATGAAGTAGCAATAAAATACTTCTATGTTTGGGGTCACTACAACATGAGAAACTATATTAAAGGGTTGCAGTGTTAGGAACGTTGAGAGCCACTGATCCAGGGGGACTAAATGAAAGCATCTCTTAGTTAACAGCCAGTAAGGGACAAGACTGCAGTCCTACAACCATTGGGGGTTGAGTTCTGAGATGAGGGGATGCGAAGGGAACTCTTTAATTCCGGGAGTCAGCCTGGTTTACACCTTGGTTCAGCCCCCAGGAAAGGCCTGAGCTCTACTGAGTCCCCCCCCCCCAGAGAAAATAAAGTTTGTTCTGTTCATCTTGGGGGGGGTGGTATTTGCAGTCAGAGGTTGTAAGGATTCAAGCACTATGCTGGCCTGCCTGCCCCTGTCACCAGGCAGAACGCACTCAGGCAGTGCTCAGGGTTCCATGAGTACTAGTCTGCAGGCTGGTGTAAAGGACCCCTTTAAAAGACAGACCCCGCCTACTTATGCTCTCTTTTGCTTTCTCTCTCCCTTCTGTTCCTGGTGCCTCTATGTCTCTTTTCCCTTCGCCCTCACTCCCCTTGCTAAGTAAACTTCTCACCAAGCTCTGCCTGGTGTGTTTGTCCCTCTGTCTGTCTGGCGTGTTTGTCCCTCCGCCTCAGTCACCCTCACCTGCTGTGGAACCCACTATGCTCTCCCACGTGGTTCCTTACCTTGGGACCCCTCCCCCACTTGGGGTACCCACCTCCCTTCTCCAGCTTTATGCTATAACTGTAACAAAAGAACAACAGAGGTAGTGGCTTTTTTTTTTTTTTTTTAATAGTTTTTAAGGGGTTGGCATGGTGCCAAGTCCCTCCTCCCAGCTCTGCTCTCTGCACTGTGCAGCCCCAATGTCACCTGAGAGGGGGATGCTGAGCGAGAGTCACCAGGCGGAAGCCCAAGTGTGTCCACAGGTAATTTGTACAACGTAAAATGGGAGCTGTGTGTTCATCATGAATTTGATTGTAGAAAGAAACTGAAAAGACTTTTGTCTTTCATTTTTGTTGTAAACTTAAATAAAATATTTATTTATTTATTTATTTATTTATTTATTTTTAAATGAAGTTAGGCTAGCCTTGAATATGTGATTTTCCTGCCCCAGCTTCCTGAATGCTGGGATTACAGGTATGTGTTAATGTGCCTGGCTAAAACTTTTGGATGTTCTGGGAGTCGAGGGAGCTGGAGGTGTGCTTTGTAGTAAACTTCAGCCTGGGGTCCCAGGACAGGCACCAGCCAGGCCAGGCCACAAATGATGTAACATGTTAGCACAGGGTTCCCATACACTCTAAGGGGCATGATCATCCACTCTCCAAGCTGAACAAGCTGGGGTACTGGAACTGCCTGCTTCTTTGCATATCACACTTAATGACTTCTTAGTCCCCTCCCCCCCCCCCCCCCACTTTCCCCAGGTGAGGCAAACAGGCTGGCATGTCCTGTTCTTAGTATACCCAGCAGAGTGGGTGCTCAGTCCACCTGTTGAAGCAGCAGCGTATAGAAAGAACTCAGCATTGCACAAAGGGCAGTTTCCATGATGTCTATTCCATGGATACAGCTCAGGTGAGATTCAAGTCCTACCAACCGAGTGATGAAAACCAGAGCCACCTGGAAGGCGGCAGTCATTTACACTACAGTCATTTTAACCTATCTCTCTCTCATTGGCACATGAACGTCCACCCCTCCAACAGACTTCAAGATAGCTAGCACAAGCATTCAAGAGCAACCCTCGATTGCAATAAAGCCAGGAATAACCAAATTCCAAAGCAAACAGACCGGTCTCGTCGCCCAGCCCAGGGAGGGAGTTTGACGGGTTTGGCTAAAGATAGAGCTGGAGGCCCTCCCCAGGAACTTCCTGACTTTTATTAGTTTGTCACCCCAAACCTAACTTTTCAGAGGTTTTTCTTTGGAAGTGTGGGTGGAAACTGCTTTTCCAATCACACCATGCCGCAGGCTTTCAGAACATCTGTATATTATTTGAAAACCCGAAAGAACATCCGGTTGGGTTCTACGGGTGGGTGGGGGACCGTGCCGCGGTGGGGTGAAACAGCAAGAGGACACGTTAAAAACATGTCCACGTCGTTTTCAAAAAGAGGCCGAAAAATTATGAAAAATTACAAATTACGTTGGCTCAATTACAAATTTGGCAGAAAAAAAAAAAAAAAAGGCCTCCCCTACTTTTAGCACCAACGTAGGAGGGAAAAAAAAAAAAAAAAAGACTGCTGGGAAGCCCAAGCGATAACGATCTCAGTGAGAGCCAAGGGACAAAACTCATTACAGATAAGCCTGGTCCTTGCATTTCCCCCGGATGCCTCTCCTTGTAGTTTACTTAAACCGTGGCTCCTGGGGAAGCTGCCGGGAAAGAAGTCCTGGCCCGGGGTGCTGCTTTCTCATGCCCCGGGTGGGAAGCGCATTTCACTCGCCCTCTGCCCAACCAGGCCAAGGTGTAGTCACTTTCTCCCAGAGCCGAGAGCTGGGAAAACTCCTCCACAAACCTCCGTGGCTAGGGGAAAGCGGGTGTATGATTGGGACTGGATTTTGCAAACCTGGGATTGACCCCCCCCCCGCCCCCCGCGCCCCATCCGAGCGGGAGACTCGGCCAATAGAAGCTCGGAAAGGGGAAGAAAAAAAAAAAAAAATCAAATCTCTATGCAACCCGAGTGCAAAGGCCGCTGGGCTTTGTCTCCTAGCCTGGAATGCACCAGGAGTGGGACGCAGGGGTGCAGGCACGGTCAAGGAGGTAAGGCCGTAAGGAATACCCCTCTCCATGAAAAAGGTAGTTGCCAGCCACTCCTTCGCCCCCAGATTCCAACCGGGCCACCCTTTCCTCCTCCCTCAAGTCGCGGATCCACGAGCTACACAGCCAGCCAGGGATCTCTCCGAATCCGCGCAGAACGCTTCGTCTTTAAGAGCTCGCAAATGGAGCAGAGCCATGCTGACCCCAGAAGGCAGCCGGTTTCTTCCTTGTCCTAGACGGAACCACGGTTACCAGTTCCCCTAAACATACACCCGCAGCCCCGGGTACGCCTGGAGAGGCTAGTAGTACAAGTCCTTGGAAGCGGGAGCTCCGTGCGGCCGCTTTAAGAGAGTGCAGCGCGCGTCCCCGCTGGCGGCAGCCTGGGGATGCGCGTCACCGCGCGCCCGTGCTCGCGCGCCCCCGCCGCCGCGCGCCCCCAGCTCGTTCGCTCGCCCGCTCGCCGGCTTTAAAGTCTCTGCCAGGATCCATGCTCACATGTTACTTCCTGTATGGAGGCATGGCCAGTTTCCAGCCCCGCGCTCTCGGTTCCTCCCCAGCCTGCGCCGGAGCCACAACTTTCAGGAGCATGGACTGAAGGCGCCCTCGCCCCGGCGCCCCTCTGAGATCCTTTGTGTTTCTCTGCTCTCCTCCGGCCGTTTCTGTTCTGGGGGGCTCTGCGCTCCGCCCCGCCGCTTCCCTCCCTTTCCCCGCTCGCAGACATGCCTCCTTCTTTGCCGGGGCCCTGGAAGGAGCTGCCCGCCTGAAGCCCGGAGCCACCGTGCAGCGCACAGCCCCGCCGTCGCCCGCCTGTTCTCGGGCTGCGCTGCGCTGCCGACTCAACTTGGGGCTCTTCCGCTGCTCGCCGCCGCCACCCGCGGTCCCTGCCTGCCCCGGGCCCCGGGCGCTGCCGCCGTGCGCCTTCTCTCCTTGCCGGATCGGCTGGATCTTGTCTGAGCAGAAAGCAGCCCTTGTCTTCCGAGAGGATCGTCCCTAGAGTGGCTTTGCATCCCCGGTCACTTTTTGAGGTTTTCCCGGGGGCGCTTGGCAGTATCCCGGATTCCTGCGGGACCGGTCGCGGAGCGTGGGGGGCCCGTGTGGCGGGCGAGCCGAGAAAGCCTCCAGGCTTAGCGGAGCCTCGCTTGGAAGCAAGAACTTATTCAACAAGTTTACCCCCCTGCTTCTCTCTTTTCGATGTGCGTTTTCGGACATGCGGAGGTTACTGGAACCGTGTTGGTGGATTTTGTTCCTGAAAATCACCAGTTCTGTGCTCCATTATGTGGTGTGCTTCCCGGGTGAGTGAGGGCCGCCGATGGGACGCAGCTCCGGCCCGCGCGCGCGGGGTATGCGGAGTTGTCGCCGGGGCGCGGAGCTTGGGCGCCAGTCTAGGGACCGCGGAGAGGGCGAAGGGGGGCCGGGCTGTCGGGGAGGAAAGAGGGATCTGCTTCATTGGCCCCGGCAGTGGTCTAGGAGGCTGGTAATCGGGGAGGGCAGGAGCAGTGGCGGGCTGGGAAGGAGGATTGGGGACAGAGATCTGCTCTGAATGTAGCTCGGAGCAGCTGGGAGTCAGGGGGCGGCGGGGCGGAGGGGGGGCTTCTTTACTGATCCAGAACCGATCCAGAGGGCTAGAGTTGCAGGGTGTCTGGGGAGACTGACTGTGGGAAGGATGCTCTGTTGGTTTGAGTAATCTGGGGTGATCCCGTTGCTCCGGCGGGGATGGAAGGAGCTCATAATGGGGGGGGGCTTTGCATCCTTCCGACCCTTTCTGGGGGGGCGGTGTTTGGGGATGGAAAGTGGAGGCTGGCTGCAGAGGAGTCAAGAGATGAGGAAGGAGCAGCCCGCGTTCTGGTTGCCGGGGCCGGGGCCCCCTCCTTTAAGCCTTGCTCCCGGCTGAGGTGCGGGCTACGCCTCAGTGTCGGCGCGAGGCAGCTCCCTGGACGCGGGGGCCTGGGAGCCGCGGGAAGGCAGGGAGCAGGGAATTTTGGCTAGATCGGTGCCTCTCGGGGCTCGCGGCCCATTTCTGTGCCACTCTCCTGGGCTGGGCTGCTGGGGTCCAAGTGCAAGGGGCGGGTCGGCAGCTGGGTTGCTTTTGGCGTCCGGGCGGATTTTTCGCTGTCTGGCGCGCCCTGTCTACCTTCATCTTTGCCCTTTTGCAGGCTGAGTGTGTCTGCAAGATTCAGACCCAGACTCGTTCGTTTTCTAGCCAGGTTAAGGCTGGAGCAATATTGGCCACTGGTGACAATCCTAAATCACTGCACGTATCGGTGTGCCGCCTGGTGACCCTCCTCTCCCAGCCCCCCCCCCCCCCCCCCCGGCTTGGTGAGGGCAGAGGCCAGGCGCCTTCCTCTTTTGCTTAGTACGAGGGCTGTTGCAGCTCCAAGCTGCCCAGATCCTTCTCTGTGGGTGAAGGCCATGTCCTCTGTTCTGGCTGGGGGAAATGGGTGGGAGAGGACGCGATTTGCTTTTCTTTCCTAGATCTCATAAGGACAGAACACCCAGTTTTTTTGCTTTCTCATCCGCCGGTTCTGGGATATTTGGAGGCAGCGGTTATTCTAATCAAGAAAAAGATACGTGCCCAGTGTTTCCGCTTTTCCTGGTTAATAGCCGCTTTTGCTTCAGCTGCCAGAGCGCGGGGTTTTGGTGCAGCGGGTACCCCCAACCCCATCTTGCACCCAGAAGCCAGGCGAGAGGACACTCGCTGCCCCCAGGGACCTGTTCTAAGGTGACTGGCAGTGAGTGGTCCCTTCCTTGCAGGTTCGAGGGTGCTTACGAGGGGCAGAGGGCGAAACACTGCGGGTTCTTCAGCTTTCTTTTCTCAGCGCATCCCCTGGTCTCCGGAGCTGTTAACCTAGCTCTTGGCACAGACCAGGATTGGTCACGGTGTGCATGCCTACTCACACGGAGGCTCTGGTTTTGTATAACTGGGGTCCTACCTCTATGGAAGTAGACGCCGAAGAGCATCTCCTTTGAGATCCAGCAAGCACTTCTCTCCCTTAGAGACCATTGAGCAGCATTTGTTTTTTATCACTGCCTCTGACTAGATTTTTTTTTATTTTTTATTTTTGGACTGGGACTTGCCAGCTGAGTGCGCTCCAGTCAGTGCACTTGGGGTCGAGCCTAGTAAGGGTCACTTTTTAATAGGGCGGTGGGAGGCAGCCATGCATACAGAAATTTCCCATTCCGTTTTTAGCTAACCCCTCCGGCTGTAGCCAGTGTTTCTACAATGTTTTTCTTCTGGTGTCTGAAGAGGCTTGCAGCAGAGTTTGGGACCGCCAGGGATGCCGCCTTGTCGAGGCTTGAACCATTTCACTTCTAATTTTTCGTCCCTGCCCAGGCTTTGAGGCAGCTAGCCCTTACTCTCTCACCCATGAGCTGACGGGCGTTTGTAAGAGGCACTGGGAAGACAGCTTTTGGAGCCAGGCAAAGTAAAAACCAGCCCTGAGAGATGCTTGTTTCAGGTTTTCCGAGGGTGGTGAGGTGCCGCTGGACCTCAGGGGGCGCCCCAGAGCCACCCGTCAAGCTCCTGCCTGCACTATACTGACTGGCTCAACCACCTGCACACACCAAGGGGTCGGGCGCACGCGTCCAGGTGTCCTGGCTGGGGCGGGAGGGGGGGGGTTGTCTGCGACATCTGGTGCTAGGCGGTACCCAAAGCTCGATGCTGCCACCCGTGGTAGGCTGGAAAACCCATGGGGACCATTCGCTTTGGGACCCAGCACTTCTTGCTGCCACAGCTTCGGAAATGTTTATCATTTGTCTCAGGGTAAATTTTAGCTTTTGGTTTTCGTCAGGATCCTCCTTGTGAATTCTTAACTGAAATCTTGTGTTGGTTATTTTTGAGTATTTGTTTTTTAGAATTCCACCAATTTTTCAGAACCTAGTTGCTGTGGTTTAGGGAGGCCTTTGGAAGTAGCTAGGGCTTGGGTATTTTCCAGCGGTCGGAGGCAGGGTTATTGCTCTTAGCAGCGTGGCGAGTGTGGGATCCCTGCCACAGCTGGAGCTACAAAACACCGCCTTCAGAGTGCTGAGGGAAGGGTTATCAAACATGACAGTGGGCACTTTACACTTTTCTAGTTCTGAAACATTAGTACTGGAAAAACATGAGACGATGTAGGGGATTCTTAGATATCTAGATAGCTCCTCTGAATCCTCAACAATTGTCCGTGTTTTCATCTAGATCCCCAACCTTCTCAACACAGTATTTGCAGTGGGGGAGCAAGGCTTATCTAGCTCAGGCTGGCCTCTAACCTGAGCTGATCTGAGGTAGGCCTTGAATCCCTGATCCTCATACCTTCAGGGGTGCTGGGGTTACAGGCCCAGTGTCAACATAAGCTTTAAATGCAATTTTGAGTGTGGCTGATTTAAATATGTGGTCTTTATCCCCAGACACAGGGCACTGAATCATCTCTGACAGAATGTAGAGTATATTACTCAAAAGGGTTAATTTTGGCCCCCATACAATCTGTTTTGCACTATTTAGCTATTCATAGGGACCCGTTTAAAAAAAGTGTCTTTTTTTCTTTTGGCCATCAGTAATACTCTTTGATTCTGATGCTCTCCCTGTGCTATGATGGCATTATACCTAGCAGGAGGAGGCGCCTAATGGCTCTTATCCTGGATGTCTCAGCATTGGGTGATTGACTTCTACTGTCCAGTGAATCCTAGCTGGTCCAGCTGCAGGATTCTAATATACGTGAGTTGTGAGTTGGGCATTTCAGTGACCAACCCTGGGACCTCTTCAGGCAGAAGCTGGGGTAGTGTTTGGAAGTCTTCAATCTTCCTCTGAGAAGCTAGGCGAGATCTGAAAGGTTTCCCGTTCCCCAAGTATTTGTTGTGAGGAATAAGACCATTGCCTAGTCAGCATACTGGGTTGCATTGTTACGATTACAGAATCTAGTCTTCCTTTTCTGGTCCCAGACATTGCTTATGGCGAGGATTGCTGAAGTGAGAACCCAACCAAATACAAGCAGGCATACATACTTGAAGTCATACCTGTGTCTTTCCAAAACAGCAAGTTCCTACCTTGAGGAGCAGGCATCTAGTAGAAGGGCGTTGAATATCACTTCTACATCGAAGCAGAGACAGTGTTGCTTAAATGAAGTTGTCCATGTCTAGGAAGTATTGATGTTTTGTGGTGTGATAAAAAGCAAATACAAAACAGAAAACAACCACTATAAAACAAAACAAAAACACCACTCCCTCAGATTTAACATTTCTGTTCTCCCCCTCTGATTTAACATTTCTGTTCTCACTCCTCAGTTTTCATTAAAATCTCCTGTCCTGTTCTATTTACTAGTTGAAAGGAATGTCCATGCCACACGGAGCTCTGTACTGCTTGTTGTCCCTGCTCTTATTTTCCTGCCACCATTTGTAACCAAAGAAGCAATCTGGCATCTACCTGAGCCTTTCCTGGGCAGGAAAGGCCACAAAGACAAGCAGATGAGCTGGCCTGAAGCATGCCTGTGATAAAAAGTGCTTTTGGTGGCTTTTAGTGTATGCTTCTGCTCAGTGTTTTAATGGTAGTTTATGGGGTGATGTAATGCAAGGTGCAGATGACAGGCGTGCGTATGATCAACACTTTCATCACGAACCGTATCTCTTGTGTTTATAACTTGGAGCTTTATGGGAAGAACTAAGGGCATCAAAGTTCCATCTGCAGTGGTGATGTCTTTGAGTCAGCCTGTGGTCTGCCTTGGTTCCAGGTTGACCACTCTTGGGTACTGAGTGGTCATCAATGGCCCTGAGGTTCTGTGTCTTTCTGTGCAGGGAGTAAAAAGCATGTGTTTCTAGAAATACAATGAAGCCAGGGGAGAAGTTCCCTGTGCTCAGTCCCCCACTGCACTTGATCTAGGTCAAGGTAGTAGCCTTGGGCAGTAGGGGCGGAGACTCAGGAGTGAAGCCAGTTCTCAGCAGACTGGAATCCAGCATTGGTCACTGGCTTGGCTCAACACTAAGTGGGCACATTTCAGACCACCGTCAGCTACTCTAGATCTGCAGGAAGTATTGGCAGAACACAAGATCATAGGCCTCCGATTCCCAGGCTGAGAAATGAGACCATCTGCCTGCTGAGAACTTCATGGGAAACCATGAGAGGTCTCTCTGCCCTCAGAAGCAAGTGTCCCTTTGTGGAAATGGTACCGGTTCAATGTAACTTTGTGTTCCATCCCTAACACTGATGAAAGAAATCTAAAAAGGATGAGAATATTTCAAAATCCCATATTTATATTGCAACCCTGCCCCTCTTTCTGAATTCTTTGGTTCCAAATCTCAGGGCTAGGCAAGTATTAATCTCTTT